GGAAGGGTTAGGGGAGTATCTCCGACTGATACGTTCCTGGGGACGAAGGGGCGTTTCTGCCCTAAAACCTGGTCTGTAACAGCTCGTGGCCGCGGCCCAGGGATGGGTCACACAGACACACACACACACACGTGTGCGCTGGCTCAGCCACGGGTAGGTGCGGGCTTGGTTCCACGCCGGCGGCTGACCTTCGGTAAGCCTCTCGGTGCGGGTGCACACCCCGACATGCCTGCGCACACGCATCGCCTTGCTCGAGATCAGTCTACACCACTTTACCAGTTCATCGAGTCCGGCTTAAAGGTGCCTTCTTTCCTTCCTCCTAAACTTGGCTGGAGAAATAAAAATGAAGGATGTGACGATACTGCCCGAATTGTACCGCTTGTTTCTTGCAGTTGTTAGTTTAGCATCATTTATATTCATCTTGAAGTCATTACCTTTCTGTCAGTTATCCTCAAAATGCATAAGCTTTTCTGGTTATTGCTTGTAAAAATTACTCAGGTGCAGTCAGTCTCCCCAAAAGCTTCACTTTTATCCTTCAGTTCCTGTACTTTGCTGTGTATGTAATATAGAAATATGAAATCTTTGCCTCTGTCTGTTGTTTATAGAATCATAGAACGGTTTGCGTGGGAAGGGACCTTAAAGATCATCTAGTTCCACCCCCCCTGCCATGGGCAGGGACCCCTTCCACTAGACCAGGTTGCCCAAAGCCTCATCCAGCCTGGCCTTGAACACTTCCAGGGATGGGGCATCCACAGCTTCTCTGGGCAACCTGTTCCAGTGCTTCACCACCCTCTCCATGAAGATTTTTTTCCTCATAAATTTCAAATTCAAATTTCTACTACACTCTGGAGCTAAATCCTGAATTATTTATCTTAGTGTTTGTGTTTTATAGCCTGAGCAGTGAAAACAATGTACACAGAAGTAATGAGTTGTACTTCTGTGTGTGTGTAGTTATTCAGTATGTTCAATTTCATTTAGTATATTTATATTATTTTAATTTCTAAAGATACATATTTAGTTCAGTACTGATACTTAATTCAGATTGTTCCTAGGTTGTGATCTTACAAGAGTTTTCATATTACTTTTTTTTAAGAGGTTTGGAATATTTATTTTGATAGTCTTAGAGCATGGGAAGTTTCTCTTGGATAACTGGGATTGTCATGTAGCTGATGAACACAGTGAGCATCCCACCACTTCTCAGGAGGGATGTGTGCCTCTAGGATACTAGCGGGTCTCCAAGTGCTTTACAGGACAGTGCTTTCCAGCACTTAGCTTTGCCTGTGCAATGCTCTCATAACTTGGAATCAGCAAAAGTCCTAAAGTCGTTCCTCCTCCTTTGCAACAGACAGCAAAAATGCTGACAGAGCGTTTTCTTAGGAGCCTGCAAACACTAGCTTCCCTGGGGCCTGAAGTAACCTCGGTATGTTTTAAGAGGTCTTAAAAGTATATGCTGTTAAACTGCAGACAAAAATAAGGGAAGTTTTAATTCCATTACTCAGAAGAATAGGAAAAAAAAATACATGTTAAGATGGTTGGAAGAAAGAATTTGCCTCTGTAATATTTTGGTTTACATTTGATTACGATCTTCCAGCAATGGTGCTCTTGCCCAGCTTTGGGTAAGCGCTCTTGGTGCGGCCTTCCAGAGGGGCTGATCTTAATATTTGACAGCAGGAGAGGGCCTAGTCGGTTCCTGGTGAATATTAAACTTGTGGTCAGTTTGTGTCACTGGGTTTTGTTGCGCAAGTGTTTGCTGAAACCTTCACAATTACAGCACGTTAAGTTCCACTGAATTTGTTATAAGTCACAAAGTGCTATCTTAATCTCTGATGTACTCTAGGGCTTAAAATATGACCTTACTGATTGCTTTCCCGTAGGAAAGAGCGTGTTGTTTTACCTTCCCTCAGTTACATCTGACTGCTAGACTTTGAGATTTTTGTAATGTTAGTAACTTACTGTGTTGGAGAATAGAAGGAACATGGCAATTGCAGATATTCTTAATTAGCACCTGATTATTCAAGCATGGGATCTTAAGTGTTATGATGCATTTGCTTACATAATGGCTATGATAGGTAGTAAACAATAGATTATTGCAGATTTTAGGGTTGTGTCCTAATTTTTAAGGACAAAATATAGAAGAGAAATACGACTTAACGTGGCTTACGCCGCATTAGTTTTGTGAATGATCCACTCCCCAGTGCTAATCTTATAAAATCTGATCAGTTCTGCTATGCTCACTGTATGTCTTTTTGAGTTGGTTTTTTTTCTTCATGAATAATAGCAAGTACTTTTTTTTTTTTTTTTTTCCCCAGTTGTACCCATTCTGCCTTTACTTCTGACTGATCTGTCTCACTTTATCCAGGGCAAGTTGTCTTCTAAATAGAAAGAATTTAGGCTTGCATTATTATTATCGAAAGAATTACTGACTTGAATTTCTGTTCCTGGCGGTGACAGCAGCCCTTTGCTGAAGCTGAAGGAGCTATCTCACTGCTGCCTCTTTTTATTTGTTTCCTCAAGTATGTTAAACTAAAAGGTGAAGAATGGAAGTGATTTAGTTTGGAGCTTTAGCACAACAAGCCAGTTTTATGACTTCTTATGAAACAGAAAACGTCTGGTGATAAAGGTAACCCTCAGCTTCTCTTGTTTTTTATCTCTGTCAGAGCACTAAAGCTTCGTTCCTAATCTTGTGTGTCTGCGCTTTAAATAAGCAGTTTAAAAATGTTCAATCCAGGCAACTGTTAAAAAGCTGGCACTTGGAATCGCAGCAAAGCAAGCGTTGTGGGCAAAGAGCAGGCAGTACATCAGCATTACGTAACTGTCTGCCGCGGGCCTGCCTGTGATTTGTATTGCTTTCTGCCCCTCCTTCCTTGTCCTCCCTTTGCAGGGCAAAGAGGCAACTAATTGATGGGTAAGAATTTGTCACGCTTCCCTGCAGGAATATGACATCAGAAGTAAGGTAGCCAACCTTTTGCCATCTTGCCTTGCTTCCTTTTTTCTTTTTCCCCTTAGTCACTTGCCTGCTGCAATCCTGTTGGTAAACGTGTCTTAAATTTTACGTTCGTTACAGGTATAGTCAGTTCAGTTGGGTCGTTTCCTTATTGTTCTATTTTTTTTTTTTCTTCCCCTTTTCTGCTCATTGTTGGATAAGGGGACTGAGGCATCAACTTTAGGAAAATAATAAAAATTCTTAAGTGGCCATTCTCCTGATTCTTTTTACTTTCTGGCTCTTTGTCATCTGGCTTTAATTTGTGCGTCACTATCTTGTCTTCATCTATACTGAAACAAAGAAATGCAGCAGTTTTCTGCAGGGGATAAAGCTAGGCGAGCAACTAAGTAATAAAGCTCGTGATTGTCTTTTTTTTTTTTTTTTTTGTGTGAAATATGGTTTTCCAGATAACCAAGTCATGAGGGAAGACTTCACATGCGTTTGACTGATTTAGGCAAAAAAATCCCATTGAAGGCCTACAGGACTTAAAAGTCTTAAGCAGTTCAGCATTTAAATCAACTTGCTGCTCCCCACGGTCTTTCTTGCTTAAACCTTTGGGTTATCAATCTGAGGGTCAGGTAGTCAACGGTCTTGGACTTGCGGGGTGGTCAGGGCTGGGTGGGTAAGTGTTAAAATGGGTAGGTAGCAAACTGGGACAGTTGGATCCAAAGGCAGCAGTCCAGGGGGATGCTAGTTTAGCTGTCACTGAACCGTGCCACGCCGCCTGGCCTTGGTGGGGTTTGTGAGTGAGGTGTGATGTAAGACTCTGAGTCGGCAGCCTGCTATTGTACAGCATGATAGAGGGATGTAGTCACAAAGAAACTGTGACTTTTAAAAGGTCTGTGAATCTTGTATAACGTGTGTGTGCTTTTTAGAAGCAGGTTAAGAAAATGAAATTGCTGATGTAAACGCTTTATTCCAATCCATTTGCCTGTATAATGCTACTGTTGTGAATAGTTCTATAATGATCCCAGATAAGGCATAATTTTCCGTATGAACTCCATTGTCATTGACTCTTCACTCTCACAGTGATACCGGGTTAAAAGCCTTAATCAAAGTCAAGTTGTCTGTGTAGGTCTAAAACACATGAAAGTCAACCTACACAGGAAACGTGCACAAAGAAAAATCTCTTCCTCCTTTCTTTTCACGGGACTGAGCCTAACAGTGATTGGCAAATAAACCCCCAAATATTCTTTATTCTGTGCCTTTGTTGTAAGACCCCTAGCTTAAAGCTAGCATATTTTCTATAGCATTTACTGTCTTTGGAGAACTCTTCTGTAATAGCTGTTACTGAACAGGCCAAGCGTGCTTACATTAGGGAAATTCTGTTGCTTTCCACAGATCTGGCGGTGAAGTCGTAACTGGGAGGTAAAACGCTGTGTTTGGGGAACTATGTTTACGGTATTGAAAAATATTGAGTAAAGATGCATTAAGTGATAAGTGTTACTGTTGCTTGCTTGTGACGGTTGCGCTGATTTTTTCAGTGATACGAACCTCTCAGCCATTGAAGTGCACTGGCTTTTTGCAAGTGAAATGCCTAGCACACACCTTTAACAGTTTAAAAGCGCAAACGAGGGTCTTCTAAAATGAGGTAAAGGACACTCAAATAAGGGCCTATCCTTGGATTTAACTGTTTTTTTAATCTAAATTTTTTTCCTGTGAGAAATTTCTCTGTTAAATATAATGATTTTTTTTTTTCTGGCAAGAATAGCTTTAATATTTTTATATCCACTTTTTCCCTATTTGTTACGAAGAATCCCACAAATGGAAGATGAAAAATTACAAATGTTGAGGCATGTTTGCAGATACAGTAGTGACGCAGTTAATGCTTAAAAAGTAATACGTTTTACTTTTTTTCACTTTTTAGTTAAGTTTTTAAGTACTTTCATGTTTCATGTGAACAGGGAAATAAACCTTCTACCTCTTTGTATGTTCCTCCCAAATCAAGGTGATGAGGTAGGTACCAGACAGGTACAATCCTTTGTTCCCCTCTGTAAATTTAAAGCAGGGTGGTCTGACTGTGAGTGTTGCTGTCACTGTCTTGTTTTTGGATCTCTGTTTCAGAGATGTAACACCTAACTGCAGCTGATTCACAGGGAGAAGCGCTGGCTCACTGGTACAACAGGATTAACAGTAGTTGTAGTACCTTTCTGGTTCTTTATGTGGGCGCAAGCTGTGGCATGTGGGCAGTTTCCTTTCTTTGTGGTGTGGGCACAGAGGGACATAAGGTGTTTTTTGTCAGCCCTGCACACAATTTGGTTTAATTATATAGGGCACCAGTTTTACTGTGCTGGACAAAATTAAATGAGTAGTAAAAATCATCAAGACGTACCTGGGCTGTTCCACTTGGGTTATTCTCCAATGGTCTTGGTTTGAACCTGCACCAGGA